CCACACACACACACACACACACACAACACAAAAGCACTGACAAAGTGATAACTAAGTGGGGGTATAGTTATACAAGGTTTTATTGAGCATTCTTTTTTATATTTGAGTATAGGTTTATTGATAAATCTTGACATCATTTCTTATCTGGTCAAAGTTTACGTAAAATTTACGGATCAGTAACATCGAAAAAAGAAAACATTCTTCTCCGCATGTGATTTAATTATAAGTCCAACCAATACATCCCTGGACATGAGTTTGCCACACAGATTTGGATTTGTGAAACATTCAAATTTGGTTTGTGGACAAGTACAAAACTTGTGTCAATTTTTCATATGGACCTCTGCAAACTGATCTATCAATTATGACGGAAGACATACTCTTTGTTGCTATCAATTTGACACACATGACAGCAACTTTGTGAATCACCTGATTGGCAGTATCCAATTGAAATCTGACATTTACATTTCTCCTTAGCCAGTCTATTTTTCTTTAACCAGTCACAAACAAAACATCCTTTCTTCATTCTAGGTACAGACAAAATATCAGGACCTCTGACCTTTCAGATGCCAAAAGTCATCACCTTAAAATCATGGTCCTGAAGCTGTCATGATCAGTTATCATTTGATGTGTTTAAAAAATCTGTCTGTGAACTTGAAAGTAAGTCAAGGTGATTTCTCTGAACAAATTTGACAGTCCTTCCACGTAAATTATCCTGGTGCCACGCTTCTTCATACCAGGTGAGCCTATCAGATGATTCACAGTCGTAAAGAGCTAGTACGACAGTGTATGTACCTATTGCTTACCTCATGTAGAGACATCGGCTTTTCGCCTTTACGCTTTGAGTCAAAGCGCCCATAAATCGCAGCATATTTTCTCAACTCCTCCATCCTGTTGGGGTCATCTTCAGGCATCTGCATGACTGCCTGAATCAAAACACAAATTCATAATAGAGGGAGCTAAAATCATCTTTCAACAAATTAAGTATGAACGTTTAAAAGAAATTGATGAAGGGGTCTTTTTTTTTTTCATGACTGCCTATAAATCAATATAGGACTTCCTTACTAGTGAGAGTAGAAATTGGATGCCAGCAAATTAAGCTCAGGCTGGTTAATTTGTTTAGCAGTACGGAAAAGGATTGTATTAGTCTCTACATATATAGCATATTGTATCTCTCCACATATATCAACACGATATTAAGACGTCTGGCCTACCATGATTTCTCTGTTGATAAGTTTTTTCATATTGAGTCTTTTGGTTTCAAACAATGGTAATTCCTGGGCAAGTTTGGCGGCAGCTTCGGCTATGGAGTTGATCTGACTTTCTACCAGGACAGGGGTCGGCACTGGTGATGTAGAGGTCGACAGTTCAGAGGTAGCCTCTGAACTCATGGGCACCGTAAAACTCTGTAACATAGAAACGCACACTCTGTATGAAACCAAGCAATCAGATAACGAAATTCTCAAATGTTAAAAATACAAAATCAGAATTTACGAATTATGAATTGCGATAAAGAAAGAAATTATGAGGATTTTTGCTTAGTTTGGATTTTTCAAGAAACGAATCAAAAGATTAACAATACTGTTTAGCTTCAACAGTAGATTACCGCCCTAAAATAATAGACAAAATATACATTGTAACTTCTAAGCACCTTATATAGCAAATACAACACTGATATTTATGACCTTGTTTAACACAACCAGAAATACTTTTCAATTTAATCAACTACATGCATCAAGAGTGAAACAGAAATATTGGATACTCGGAATGTTTACATTTATCTCATAAAATATATTTTGTAGACCATCATTGTCTTCAAGTTTCTCTTAAACCATTTTTAATAATGATACTTTCCTATGAAAAATCTCCCGTTTAAGAATTTCCTTAAATGAACTTATTCACCCAAGAAGACTAATAATGAACTATTCCAACCTTTGAATTGAAAGAGTTCAAATTTGTTTGCAGGGGTGAATGAGTGAAAGTAACATTTGTGAAACTGGGGTATGTATACCTTGATGGTCTCTGTGACGAAGGTGTATTTACTGATCTCTGTGAGGATTAATATATTGGTCCACATAAGGAGACTATACTGGTCGTGAGGTGTGTGTATATACTGGTTCCTGTGAACAGGGCTAAATTTTAGTCGACCCTTGACATTTAGCAATTTCAGAAGTCAAATTGAATTTTTCCCTTTATTCTGTAGGGTCAAAACACATGTCAAATAGACCTGTCCTTTCAACCCTAAGAGTCAAAGCTCATTCTTAGGAGTCAAAAACTTACTCTAAAGTGTCAATTGAACACCATACTGCGAAGAAGGGAATACTTGTGTTGGATTGTGTTGGATTGTGTTGTGCTTACCTCTACCTTAAAGTCGCCCTGTACCGAACCCCCAGAAGAGCTGGTGGGGGTGTTGGTCAGGCCGGGACTGATGCTGATGGGGGGTGGGACTGGTGATGACTGGGGTGGAGGCTGTAGTTTGACAGGTGTGACCACGGTGACCTGGTGCTGGGGGCTGGGAGTCAGTGGGGGTTGTTGTACAGGCTGTGAGGGAGGGGCAGGTGGTTGCTGCAGTGGCTGCTGTGGCTGTTGTGCGGGCTGGAGCTGGGGTGTCCAAACCGCGGCACTGACAGGCGAGGAATGCTGGGATGTGTAGATGATCGATTGCTGCGGCTGTGGCGGGTCCCTGACAGGTGTCATGACCCCTCCCATTGTCACACTGACTGCATTAGACGATCCCAACAGTGGACCCACTGATACAGCCATAGGGTTCTGGAATACAGCTACAGAATAGAAATAACGATTGTTGATCCACTTCAATGATTAATATAGATCTGGCCCATCTGTTGTTAAACAATACAAATATAGACAGAAAATATTTTTACTGGTACATATTCATTTTATTGGAACATTTTAACAGTACACAAATAGATAGATGTATACCAAAAATATACTTGATGCCATTTTTTTTTTATTACAAAATGTTTCAAATAATGAGGAAAATGCAAACAGTAAACAACATGCTTTTAGTCAATTTGTTCTTTACAATTTTCTATCTATATCTCAGGTAAATATTTCAACTAATGTGTAACTCAGTCTCCTCAAAGCTTCACCTACCTGGGTTAGAGACCCATTCCTGTAAAGCTTTCTGTAAGCGACGAACATGGAGAGGTTTACTCGCCATGCCAACTAATGCCATGATCTCCAGAAACTCATCCTCTCCAGCCTCGCAGAGCTGCTGAACATCGTCCCCACCTGGAATGAAAAACAGTCTAAACTATCTCCCTAAGGTAATAATATCTACACACACAGTCTAAACTATCTACCCCAGGTAATTATCTCTACATGCAGTCTAAACTATCTCCCCGCAGGTATTAATATCTACACACAAAGTCTATACTATCTCCGCCAGGTAATTATCTCTACATGCAGTCTAAACTATCTCCCCAAGGTATGAAGATCTACACACACTGTCTAAACTATCTCCCCCGGGTAATAAGATCTACACACACAGTCTAAACTATCTCCCCTAGGTAATTATCTCTACATGCAGTCTAAACTATCTCCCGCAGGTATTAAGATCTACATACAAAGTCTAAACTATCTCCCCCAGGTAATTATCTCTACATGCAGTCAAAACTATCTCCCCCAGGTAATAAGATCTACATACACAGTCTAAACTATCTCCCCCAGGTATTAAGATCTACACACACAGTCTAAACTATCTCCCCCAGGTAATTATTTCTACACGCAGTCTAAACTATCTCCCCCAGGTAATAAGATCTGCACACACAGTCTAAACTATCTACCCCAGGTATTAAGATCTGCACACAGTCTAAACTATCTCCCCAAGGTATTAAGATCTACATACACAGTCTAAACTAGAACACTGACAGGTCAGTAAGGGCCCCATCTTGTGGCAATATATATCCCATAATCATCAAGAAGCAATCTGCCCATATAGCTGAGCTTGACGTTTGACATTTGGACTTCAAAAAGAATCGCAAGGAAGCAAAATATACATTTTACATGTACTATAATGCGAGTCTAGTTTCCTTCCACCTCCATATTTGCTGGGCTAACAGATGTGTAAATACCAGTGCAACACTCATTTGTTAGCTTTGATTTGTTTTATTTCACCTTATATACCTCCTCCATCAAGAGCCAGGGTCAAAGTCAGAGATCCACTTTGTCTTTGACCTTTGGACCCAAATGACCTTGACCATTAACCCAGTGACCCTGATCTTTGGACAGTTAACTTGTTCTTTAATTCAAACCAACTTTACTTCTTAATATCATAACAAAATGTTCATCAGTGAAAAATACAAAACTTGACCTTGACCCTTTGGACCCCGTGACCTGGACCTAAGGTCAGTTGACTCTGTGTTAAGTTCTGAACAACATTGCTTCATAATGTCATAACAAAATGTTCATCA